GTCCACAGACATGACAGCCAATAAAACAAGAATAAAAACCAAATCACACATCAACATGGGCATTTTGAATACTGGACTGCAGTTAAAACACACTACACTACTACTAAACCACATCTACACAGCCAATACAGGTAAGAAAGGATTCTCCCAGCTTCTCATCAGACAAAATCCACCCCTTAGCACAGGATATGTAACTGCACAGAGTTCTTTCCTGTTTCCATCTAAGTGGTTTAAAACTGTATTTTAACTTACAGGTTTTAATCTGGATCAATCTGGCATTTGTAACCAGTCTCTAAGTTGGGACAGGTATGAACTGGTGTAAAACTAAGAAGGCAGCAGCAACCAGAGATGGGCTAGGAGTGTTTTCCATAAACTCCAGCAGTAACAAATGGCCGATGGCAGTAACCAGCTGCCAGAACTAAAGCCTTAAATAAAAATTCTTGTTAGATAGGATTTTTTCCTTTACTGTATGGTGAATTCAGGAACATAACATTCTGGAACGAGGAACATGCAGATTCTTTTTTTTTTCTCCCCCTTAAACAAGCTTGGAACTTTCACATCAGATATTTAATCTCTCAGTACGTGAACTAACCTTTCTTTGTAGGTGCATCTTGCACAGACAAGGTAATGAGTTTCTGATTGGCAGGCAGAATAGGCCGCTCAGATTCTGCCTGCTTCCGCTTCATCTCACGATTGAATTGCCGTCTCTCAGCCCAGGTTCTGAATTTTTTTACAGTAACTTGTTCAAAATCAAAACGCTTCTCAAGGTAGCGTCTAAAATCTTCCAGATCTAAGAAGCAAGCAGGTTACTATAGCTGACTATATGGAAAAAAACCTACTAATGCACAAAGACACACAAAAAATACATAGCAATAACAACTGAGATTGATAGAAGTGAGTCTTAGACTGATATACAGCTTTAGTGGATGAAATACCCCAAATCTTCCACAGTTTTGTGTGTAAAGTTTGCATATCATCTCTCAGATGCCAGCAGGAATTCCTAGTGTATGTTTCCCTTCCCATTACAATCAAAATTCCCTTTTAAAACTGGTTCTGTTTTTTCAGATATCTGCCTAAGAAAAAACAGCAGCAGAAAGACAACTTACCAGATGATCTCAGGCAGGGTTTGACTCAACTGTCATGTCAGGAATAATAAAAGAGCGTACCAAATGCCATTAACCCAACTCCAGCCAAGAAATGAGTCCCAGTTCCCATACCTACCTACAGATTCATCTTTACATACTTCAACTTTGGCCTTAACTTGTCCTAAGGCTCCTTGTGCTGCATCTCCCCCTGAGGTGTCTTTTTCATCTAAAGGCCCAGAATCAGCAGCAGTGGAATCTGGTTCTTCTGTTTGGCAGTCCAGTTCTGAAGACTTATCTAAGTGCTTTATGGGTGATACTTCCCCATTTGGGGTTATGTCATTATTTTGTTCCCTTTCCTCATTTTCCTTCATTTTTTTATAATGCAAGCAGGGAATGCTACTAAGGGGAGGATCATGTTTCTGCAAACATAAAATAATACAGTTTCAGTATGTCGAGGTAACCAAAAGCAAATTCAAAACTCACCAGATGTAGTCAAGATGGAAGCTATAGTTATTTAGTCTAATCTCAGGATGCTCTTTGGTTAGCAACCTTATCCTATTCAAACCTTAGCACATTCATTTGTATGGCATCCTGGCACTGTGTTAATACTGACAGTAAAATGGGAAACACTCTGTGAAGGTTAAGTCCAAACTATATTCTGATTGATTTCAAGCAAACATTACATGCTTTCATAAAATCCCTTGAGCCTTCTCGGGGTTTAAATCCACAATATTAAACTCAGTCTCTACAGATTCCTTTGGTTTATGAATGTCACACATCTAACTCTGTAAATGTGGTCCATGAACCACATCTCAGGCTAGTTTATGGCTACAAATAAACAATCTGAATTTATTTCCTGGTGGAATAAAATTAATGTTTTGCAGTCATATTCTAGAAAAAGAAGACACAAAACAAGACCACCTCATTTGCTTTAACTGCCCAAACTCATTATCAACAATTGAAAAACAAGGCATAAAAAAAATCATTTCGGACTTCAGAAATAGAGTAGTTTATTTCTCAAGTACTGTAATAATCCTGCTCAGGAAGAAAAAAAATAGTCAACTGTTTAAAGGAATAAATCTAATTTTAAAATATGAGTACAGAAATAATTGATAGTATTTACCCTTATGCTTCCTGTTCCCAAGAAATAAGGTCTAGACCAGGTAACAACTCTAGATTCTCTGTGCAGATATACAGGAATGCCTGAGTTATGGAATGTCATGATCCATCCATCTGGTAAAGGTTCCGTTGGAGGGCGGCCACGACCTTTAAAGCAAAGAACAGCTTTAGATCTGGAGTAGTCATTGTTCAATAGACACTGAATTGTGGCCTACTCCCAAACTGCAAATCACCAAGCATTGTTTGTATCCAGGTCATCTGCAGTGTTGTCTTCTACCTTTCTTAGGTAGTCAAGCAAGGGATAGGTGGTCACTGATTCCTTGGTTTGTGCAGCTGGGTATGATTTCTTGTGATTTCAGGCTCTCACTGCTCCGTTTCCATGCAGCTTTTTTTCTGATAGAAAGTCTGATAAACTTTAGGATGCAGTTTGAAATTAAACCTTTCATTATATTTTTCAATAGGAGTACAACACAAACCAGAATCAAGTCTACAAGGCCTTATACTTAAATATCTTAGCCATGAAAAATGCTGCTGCTTCCACAAAACATGAGTGAAATTACTCATGTAGTAAGCCTGTATTAGGACATACACAGCAAAAGGAATAACACTGCAGTAAAACGTTTGCACTCACATTCAAGACAATGTATGGTTTTACTTATTTCTACTCTAGACACTGGAGAACAGTGCCACTCCTTTCTACATCAGAAATGAAGAAAATAGACTCCTTTCAGCTGAGACCCCTGTGTCAATCCCATGTTCACGTAAAGCTGGAGGGAAGAAGTGTTTGGTTTCTTACTTCAGAGCACAGCGTTTGACAGCTTTGCTCTTCTAGGACAGGTTTAAGGCTTCGTTCTGATACAAACTGTTTGCAGTTATGCTCTTGTGGACTGGGTGGCATTCTCAGCTCTTTATTACTTGTTGGTAACACACTATGAACACCTTGATAAATGCAAGTCATGGGCGTTAGTAATAGTTTGCCTGGTATTGCAAGCATTAAGACTGCACATGTACGTTTCAACAAAAGAAGTGAGTTAACGGCAGTAGGAAGAATTCCACAACCAGCCTTCACCTCTTTCACAGTACCAGAGAGAAAAAACAGATCCTTGTTCACCTACCTGCTACTGAGGTAAAAGTCTTCTCATTTTCCACATATCCGTGCACCAAAACACATTTTCATCACAAACAACAGATGAAGACAAAAAGCACTCCCAAACATTGCCTTTAATGTTTAGCAGTACGAAAAAAAATCATACCTGATATTAAGAAGCCTCCAAACAAGACTGTGTACCACACCCACTATTTGACCAAAACTGCTACCCAAACTCAGATTTCCACAGATTTCCATTCAATATACCAACATCACAGAAAGGTTTATAAATATTGAACATTAACTTACTTTTAAGAACAGTTTTAATTTTGGTCATCATTGGCTGCACACTTGTTTCTCCATCAGACTGGTGATCACTTTCAGCCCCGTATTTCTCATTTTCTACTCTCCTTGTTTTGGGTGCACGAAGACCCTCTTCCAGCAGAGCATCCACATCATTATCAAAGTCATCCTGAAAGAGATGTCACCAGATACTACCCTCCTGAGGTCTGCTAACTTCCCTTTCCCCTCGGAAAGAAAAAGTGTACATTATCCCTATGTACTTCCACATAGAGAGGAACTAGAAATGTCCAATGATCCCAGTAAAATGACTGAAAAACAAGAAAGTTTTCATAAGTGAGCACTGGCATTTTTCACAATGAAGTAAGCTTTACTGTGTAAGAAGCCTTTTTAATGTTATTTTTAAACTAAGCCATAGAAGATACCACACAACTCAGAAGATCCACTAAAAGAATTGTGGAAGTTCTCAGCCAAAATCCACCTTCAAAAATTTTGTATTTTTAACTCCAGCACTGCACGTTTCTAAGAGAGGCTGTCCTTAACAACACCTTTGTGAGCTTTTTCCAACTACTTGGAATCCTCTAGTCCACCAAGAATCTCAGTATTTACTTACCTCATATGAGTAATTCATGGTTTCTTCATCCACTTTATCCCTTTGAACGATTGCTTTAGATGTGAACCCTCCTCCTTCTTCATCTATTTCCATCAAGTTGTCGGTAAAGTCTTCAAGCTCATCCAGAACTGCATATTCCACTCTCTTTTCCTGATCAACATCATTCTCATCATCCTTCTTGTCATCATTTTCACTCCCTATGCCTACAGCTTTACCATTACTACCACCGAAAGGACAAACATGCAAATCCCCATTGACATTATTAATACCAAAATCTGTATCTGCCTTATAATCCTGCTCAATTCCAGTGTACAGAACTTTCCTATCTTTGCTTTTGCAGCTTTCTGTAAAGCTAACGCTAATCTTTACATCTTTAAGTAACTTAAGATCTGGGGTGAACTTTCGAACTGAAGGTGCATGACGAGCAGTTCTCGGGCTTTGGTCACTATTGTTAGGGTCTACTATAAGACGACTTTTGTAGCAGGCAGATCCCTTTGTGAGAAGCTGTGTTCTGCAGATACTGTGCGTGTCCCCAGCAGGGGTATCTGACTGTCCATCACCACCAGAGCCAACGTCCATTACCTCTGCGTCACTGGACGTTTGCAGGGGAGGTGGTGGAGGCTGTTCGTTAGGCGGCAGAGGTGGGGGACAAGTGTGATTCTCCACATTCATTTCTCTTGCAGGTTCTTTAGGGAGGGGTGGTACGTTTTCGTATTTCTCCATCTTTTAAACTGTAAAACTACTGTTTTAAAAAAACACAATGCTTTCAATAAATGTTTGTATCTATATTCCTAACATGCGTAAGTCCATCAGGATTGGGTTATCATGTCCTAGTCAATATGCAACACTGATGATTCAGTTAAGCTGACTACATTGTTCTTTTCATTAATGTAGACAGCTTTCAGAATCACTGTCTCAATTATTGGAAATCACAATGCATTCAGCTTAAATAGCTGAGGACTAAGACTGCATCTTCACTGGACAAGCAGGTCTCCTTTTCTTCTTTCAATCTACAAGAAAAAAAAATATATGTCACAGAAGAAAAATGGAAAGTGGTATCCCAGGCAAAAAGAAAAATAAGTTATTCCTTCCCATAATACGTTCCAAGTAGAAAAGAGAACTACATTTTGCAGTAAAAAACAAAACAAAACAAAAAACAAACAAATAAAAAACCAGATTATCTCAGTACTGTTCTGAATGAGACTGAGATCAGGCTGTTGTTACAATTTCTTGGTCTGGAAGTCAAGGTGCAAGAACTTGCTAACGCAGTTACCTACTTAATTAATTGACTATCCCTGCTTGTTTAGCTACCAGGATATTAAGTAGGTATTTAGGGACTCTCTTCCATTGCTTAAAATAACCTGGTATTCAAGCAATACTTACCTACACAGCAGACAGATTACACACGCAATACTGGCATGCTTTTAACATCTATGGTTCTTGATAACACGTGTCCTTTTGAAACTTACAGGTATGCCTATATCACACTGGAAGTTTTAACAGGAAACCTAACTTGCTAAAAAACTCAGTGCAACTGTCAAAACACAAGGAAGTAATCTTTACCTACCTAGCTAGCTCTGGCAATCCTGATACTAGCCTTGTGTTCTCTGCAGAAAAGGTGTCTTGTTATTACATTCAAGCACTATTAACAATGAAATGCTTACTGTCTTTTCCTTCTTGCTGGCCTTGAAGTAATGAATAGCATAATCAAATCACTGCCAGCCCATACACATACTGCAGCCAGAAGTAGTACCAAACCAAGGCTGGTTTAAACTTGCTTTTGTATTCCTGGCCACAAACCTGCCCCGTCCCCAGGGTAATGTAACAGAGTCCAGCAAATCTACTGTTACAGAGGGCTACAATACAATTTGCTACAAAAGAAAGCCCCCCCAAAACAGGAAGAAGCAGAAGAGAGGTCCAATTCCCATCTGCTCTGCCACAAACTGATATTTACAATGTGCCTTTTATGTTAGAGGCTGGAGAAAAAAAAAGAAAAAAAAACAAACACCATTTTGATGAACGAGAGAAAGGAGCAATACAAAAAAAAGGATGCATGAGCCTATAGGTTAAAAACAGCCACGTGGAGCTTAGACAAGACAACCAGAAAGCCATTTATGAAAACAGACTTAGCGTATTAGGTTACACAGCACTAGAAGACAACACAAGCTAGTTCATCTATTGCCACACTTAATTAACTTGCCCTGAAAAAACACCTTTTATTCACCAAGACTCCACAGAAATACACCAACAAATCCCACATGGCCCTCTTAAAGATCTAAGGAGCATTATGGAGAGCTGCAACAGGCAGTACAGAACACTGAACGAACTCTGGATGAACTGCAGAAAATAAGAATTTTAAATGAAGTTTTGCAGATCACCAATAAATGGAAACATCGCATTTTTCACTTAAGCTTACTCTTGTTCTAGTGGATCATCTGAAAAGGTTTCATTGTAAAAGTAACCCCAAAGAGATGGATACGTGGTGGACATTATGTAGCAAACTGGAGAACTTCCTCTTGGCTTGGCTGTGTTACAGATGTTCTTTGGAGACAGAAAGAAAAACAAAACAAAGCCAGATAATGCCCTTCTTCTCAATCAGTACAGCAAGATCATGAAAGAAACACACAGAGAAAACAGCACCTCTTTTCAAAGAGAAAACTAGAATGTTAGAATGTGTAACCAGCAAACTCCCACAACAGCATGTATGGAGACTCACAAACAAGTTCAACAAAGAACATGTGAATACCTGTAGCTGCTCCTGGGTACAGGGAACAGCATACCACAGATTCTATCTTCGAAAAGTCATTTGATAAAGAAATTGGTTTCATCATCAGAAACTGCTTCCTTCGTGTCTCGTAGACGCCCCAAAACGAAGAGTGGCTGCTTATTTGTTTCTGAAATACACAGCCTCCCTCCTCCCAAGGCACTTGAATATCTACTCAGCCATCATCTTTGTCAACCATGGACCCTTTTTATTATCTACACCTCCTGATACATACAGTAAAACAATACTGAATCATTAATTAAGAACCGTCAAAAGAAAACAAAACTGGGAAAGTGGATTATTTTCTTTAAATCTGCATAGGAAGTCTCTGAAGAAGGACATTCAGTGGGCTACTACTGCATACAAGAAAATATTTCCTTCCACACTGCCAACTTTAGCACAGAAAGATTCTGAAAAAAAAAAAAAAACAAAACCCAGCCATTTTGTGCAAGTCATCAAAGCAGTGCAAGAACAGTCACTCAGGTGCCCAACAGTTACTATCAGTACCATATCCAGAAAAGAATAAAGAACCTTTGTAGTGCCATCCCATTTCAGAGCTAGCAGAATTACATAAATTGGGAAAAGCGCCATCAGAAAACAGCAGAGCAAGTGCTGCTTTGATAGCTTGCCCAGTGTTCAGGCAGAGTTTAGATGGCTACAATTAATGGTGCGACATAGGAGGTAAGTTCATTTGTTCTTAAATCTGCAATTTAGGGCCTAGGAAGGAAGAAAAAAACATTCTTCCAATTGCATTCCCAGAGGCTTCCTACTTGTAAAGAAAAACAGCACAATTAGGAACTAATTTCTCTTCTCACCCTCCAAAAATAGCAGTCCTGGCAACAATCGGGAGACACTGCTCAGAAGAAGCAGGGTGCTAACCTTCCAGCCACAATTACAAACGGGAACAGTTACGTTTAACCATCGAAACAGAAGAAAGAAGAGCCCCGTTCATAAAGGAAAAGCCAAAGAGCGGAGCGCAGCGCCTGCACGGCTCGGAGGGCGCCGAAGGGACGGACGCGATCAGCCCGCTTTAGGAGGGGTAATCAGGGGCCCATCCCCCTCAGCTGAACGCTGCAGAAATGAACGCGAAGCTTAAAGAAAAACGAGATGCAAAACAGAAAGAGGCGGCTTCCTCAGGAGGGAAGAAAAAAGTTTAGAAGTTTTCGAGCCTAAACCTTCCAGAGACCGAGCGAGGGAATTCAGAGAAAACCCTCACGGCGCTTCATGGCGGAGAGCGGGAGTGGCGGGAACGCGTGGAGCCGCGCGGCGGCAGCTCGGAAGGCCGCGCCGCCCCATCCGCGCCCCCCACCGCCCCAGGCGGCCGGCCGCGCAGCACGTGCTGCAAAGGGCCGCGCGGCCCCGGAGCGGCGGCGCTCAGCGCTCAGCCCGCAGCCGAGGCCCCTCCGGCCCCCGACGAGGACGCGGCGCTCCCCTCCGTCCTGCTGTTCCGAGCGCTGCCCGCAGAACAGCGAGCGGAAGGCGGGGCGTGGGGGCAGCAAACGCCGACGCGCGGCTGCGGGGGCGCCCGACGGCGATGCCCGCCCGAAAGGACGGCGGGCCGGGGCCGCACCGCGGCCTGCAGGGACCGAAGGGTTACAGCCCGCCAGGCGGCGGGGCCCGCTCCCGCACGGCCTCCCTCTGCCCCACGAGGCCGGCACCCACCTGGGCCATCCCCGGCGTCCCGGCCTCTCCTCTACGAGAGGTGGTGGTGGGAAGGCGAACTCGGCCGCCTCACGAAAGCCGCCCCCCGCTCCGAGCCGCCATCGCCTCGGCCGCCATCTTTAAACTCCTGCTCCGAGCGGCTCCGCGGGGCGGGACTCTCCCCTCCGCCAGCCAATGGCGTCTCACGTCTCATGCGTCTCGAATTTGAAATCCTGGTTGCCATTGACAGATTCGCGAGCACGTTAAATAGTTCGGCCAATAACGACGCAAGAAGCACACGCCCTTACGAAGCCCGACCAATGAAAGGGGACAGGGGGCGGGACCGAGGCGGCGGGAGGGCGCGGCCGGCCGTGACGGGAGCGGGGCCCGGCCGGGTTCCTTTGTCCGCAGCCGGGAGGAGCCGCGCGGCGCCGCTGCGCCGTCATCGCTTTATGCGACCGGGGCGGGAAGCGGCGCCGGCAGCACCGAGCCGTGCTGGAGGGGCTCCGGGCCGGGCTGCAGGGGGCCGCAGCCGCGAAGCCTCCCAGCTCCGTTCACAGCTCCCACAGCGCGGGGCGTCTCACGCTTTGTGCCCCCGCTGTGCGGGAGGGAGGAAGTTTGCGCGTCAGGTGGGAGAATTAAAGCACAGTGGTTTGAAAGTCGAACGGCTGCTACATTAACTTCCATTATGACTGTGAAAACCGCAGCTCCCTTCCCTTGCCAGGACAAACAATTGCTGCCAGCGCAAAACACCGAAGAGTCAATAATGGAAATCACCGCTGGCTTCCTAAGAAGTGAACGGGCTGCACCCGTTGCGGTAAGAATGAGGCGGAGTCGATGCTCCGCGCTCTCAGTGAGCATCAAAACCGCAGCACACAGCCTTCTCTAGTCCAAGTAACACTCCAACTGCAGCTACATAAATTGGAAGCCTGCAACAGCTCTCAAACACAAACTTAAATATAGTGCAATTAAAAATGTAATCCACAAACCAAAATAATGACTCCATGTGAAATTATTTTTGTACATGAACTCAAAAATTGTTTAAGATTTACTATTTTATATATTTTATATTAAATTAAATATTAATATATCAAATCTGATATAGTTACTACATACACACTTATACACTCTAACTGAAAGGACAGTTAATTCCTTTCCAAATGGAATACATTCAGTTGAGATGGGACAATCAGAACAGGGATAAATGCACTTGGCCAAGACCTTGGCTCTATTGTTACTTCCAATAGCCATTCACAACTGAGCTAGCATACCAAGAGAAAAGCTTGCTTTCCCACTTTTTTCTCTTAGAAGAATACTTTCTCATAAGGAGAGGTAAAAGCCCCAGTTATTGAATACTGGTTATAATGTTGTACTACAAGAAGTGACACTATTGGTTCCACATATTCTCAGCTTATTATTTAATATATCTTAATTAACACCTGAAAAGTGATGTTGTTTTCTTCACAGAACAGAAGCAATCAATGTGTTTATGCCATCAGACAAGTTACCGACTACCACTGGCTTCGTGCCCATCAGGGCTGAAATATCATTGAATAAACCATTGAATACACCTCCTCTGTCACTAGAGGACAGGCTTGTAAAGTACCTCACTGCTATCAGTATGTAGTTCTTTGTGCCCTCTGAGGAAAGCACAAGCCCAAAAACAAGGTTTTATAAAAGTAAATCCAGAACGTTTTACTGAGAATATTTAAGAATATATTGATTATCAAATCTGTGCTGAAGTCCCATCAATTTAGATTATATTAAAAAAGGACTAAAATACTTTTAAGAGCCTAATTAATGGCCAGCTTGTATATTTGCTTGAAGTATTTTAAGTCACAGTTACATAATCATAACTGCAGAGACCAAGTATACAGTATCATTATATTTTGTATTACTTTTAGTAGACAATCATGTATATTTATTCAAAATAATGTAACGAAGTTCAAATTGCATACATATCTAATAATCACATCCTCATTAGAAGATTTTAAATCCATGTCCAATGCTTTTCTTTAGATTTAAAAACAAGCAAAAACTACAAAATTCATCATCACAAATGCCACTTCTAGCTTAAACTCTTCAGGAGAGAGATCAGAGCTTCACATGGACTTTTATAATGCTTGAATATAAATCAAGGTTTTTCTGGGAGACTTGTTTATTTAATAAGACAAATAAAGCAAAGTTTTAGTAAGTACTATGATAATTCATACTGATATTTAGTAAAGACAAAATATCAATCACAGAATGAGATGGAAACAAAATGCATGTTGAGAAGTGGCATTTTATCAAAGCTGATCAGAATATGGTGTTTTTGGTTTTTTGTTTGTTTGTTTGTTTTTGTTTTTTTTACTTGCCTGTTAATCCTACTGCTTCCATTGAAAATCCTACCAAGGATCCTTCAACTTCACAGCCCTATTTGCTGGGGTTTTTGTCTGTTTGCTCCCCTCCCATACTTGTGTTATGACCACTCGTAAAGATATACACTCAAGATATTACATAAAGAATTCTGGAGAGTGATCTTTTCAGCATGACTGAAACAAGTTACATTACAACAGATATTCCATTCTAAAGGTGATTCTGAATTCTCCATCAATTTATTTGTAATTATAGATAATTACAAATTTCACCTCAACTGCAACATGCAGATATGCAGATAACTAAGGTTGTCTCAAGTTAGTGTAACTTCATATTCAGTTTCCATTTGCAAGCATTATTATTCCTTATCTGTCTGGTGGGGAAGGAAAAAAACTAATATTGCTAACGAGATTATCAGCAAACAAGATGTCACAGTACAGAATTTTATTCTTTTCAAAGATAAACAACTCTAAACTTTACTGAATAAAACTGAGCAGTGACAACTTATTTCTTAGTTCTAAAACTAGGTTTGAGAGTACTTAAGATGATTGCTGTACTATTTACAAGTAAACAAAACAAAGAATTCTTCCTTCCCCACCCTCTCCAGAACAATGCACCATGGCATAGTGACAAGTTTAAATATTACTAAAGCACTTAATGCATTTAATGCACATTGGCATCAGCTTACAATCTTAGAATTATATATTGAAGGGAGGGGAGTTTTGTAAAAAAGAAAGGCAGCAAGTGTTACTCCTCCTCTGAATTGAATGCAAGGTTAGTATTTCTTTAAAACATACATAAAAAAAAAGCAAGAACTTGCATGTTGGGCAAAGACAGCCTTGCCCTGGAAACAGGTGTTAGACCAGGTGGTCTCACAATCCCTCTGATCTTATGTTCTATGACTGCTAGACATTGGTTTCAGGCATCATACAGGATAGTTGTATCTGAGTGAAAAGAAATTAAAGGAACCTGTGAAAAGAAATGGAACTGCAGCTGATTTCTTTCCAATTCCAAGTGCAAATGATAAAAATCTAATTTTTAGATAAAATTTAGATTTGAAAGTTAGCTGAAGATTGATTCTCCAAGCAGCTGCATATATTCTTAGCTTTGGTTGAAATAAAAATAAAGCAGTTATATGCAAGTCACAGTATCCTGTTTGGTACTTTCCAATTTTTTTTAAGCTTAGATGATAAAACAAAGCTACAGGGTCAGACATTTGTTTTAAAGTTGTAACTTAATATCAGAACAGCAAGAAACATGGTTTTATGCAAAGGATTTGTGAGATTGATAGCTTACACGATCTATTTGAAACAACTTTTGCTTCTCTTGCTTTTTTTGGCTTCCAGAGGCTGGCAGAAAACATTTCCCGGAGCTTAACAGCTTGTTTTCATTGTTTTTATTACAATGCAATCACATGGAAAGTTGTTACATGTGCAGTTTGAATTCATAGGTGCTTGTTTTCCACTGGCTGACATCCTCGTTGATCATGGTGCGCTCTGTGAAAGTAACGTTTCCTTCTGAATCAATGAGAAGGACTGTGTTTGTTCTGAAACAACATAAAGGCAGAAGAAATACAGAACACTCAGTAAAGAGTTAACGTTTATGACAACATACATTTGAATTGAATATGTTTTGGTCCAGCAGGAAATATTACCTTGTTCCATACCCTGGGCAACGAACACACACAGCTGCATACTTGTTCAATATGGGACGTATGTATTCCTTCCCTTGATCTTCAATTGCAGGGTCAGGTAATTGACTGAAAAAGTTGTAGAAGAAATTATTATTTTTTTTTAATTCTCCATCATATTATGTCTTGACTAAGCTGTTTTCTGTGAAGTTGGCCTCTCTATATTGTTTTCTTACGGCTCTTGATTATTCATCACTGTAAGGAGCTCCTGCACTAAGTCCTCTTTGGCAAGGTCTTGACTTCTGTTGATGACTTCTGTGAAAAGCTGTTTCCCATACTGAAGTTTCTTCCACGGTGTATCCAACAAACAATTACTTAGTCCATATATTCCTATACATGTGCATGCATCAGAGGAGAACAAAATATAACATGTAAATGTAGCATGTAACACTTAAAAAAACTTAACATTTTCCCAGACTTTTGTGAAATACCAAAGATTCCCTGCCCAGAGCACAACAATAACAGAAACATGAGGGTATTGCACAGCCTAAACACAAAATAACTCTTAATCACTACATGGTTGGCTTTATTTCTGTAAAGCAATTCCAATTCTCCAAGCTTCATACATTATGAAATCAATGTGAAATTCAATTTCATATTGTACAGAGGTAACACAGGAGTGACCAGCTTTTTGTTTGTGTTAAAATCTGTTTTGCGCTTGTAGTTGTACAAAAATCTAATAGCTGTTTCCAAGAACTTATGCCATAACTGGTACAGTAACTATTTGTCTATTGGCAGTAACGCATTGAGCAACATTTTAAGCAAGCAAAATATGCCTTTGTATATTAACACAGCCTTCTTCACAACTGTTATCAACCAGCTAAAGCATTCCTCATGTCTCAGTCCACTTCTGTTTGATTTTGGTGATGAATACTACACAGTTGGCCAGCAAAGGGCTAGATTTTAAATATTTTAAATCAGTCTACCTGATTTAAAGACAAAAGTTCATTATTTTTTAAAGCCAATTCTGTCCCTAGGGGGGCACAGTCAAATTACTGTCTTAACTCTGCAAAGTAAGAAAGGTTACCTCTGACTTTGAATATTCCATTCCTCGAGACAAACCTTTGTCCCCTGATCACAATTAAGTAACATTCCAGTAACTGCAGTGGAGATTGGAACACCAACAAGGATAGACTTGTTATAAACTACTGACGCTTTACTGAGATATATTAGCAAATACTTAAATGAATTTAAGCATTTATGTTTAAGAATGCAAGGAAAGTTAGCAAAGAAATGCTTAAGCAGACAAAATACTGGAGAATATGACTATATTTTGAGTCCTTTAAAGTAAGAGTAATACTCCAACCTTTTAGACATAAACCTACCAGGATTTAAGAAAACAGGTTCCGGTTCTCCTTTGTTTCCATAGTAGCAAATTACATCTCCTTTGGTGGTACTGAAAAATACAAACAAGAATTTCTCCTTGAAAAACAACCAGTGTCTGTAGTTGATTACTTGCTAATTCCACACAACCTTCGAACACAGCAAGATGTTTCTGTCACTGTTACTGCTCTGACATCACAGCCCAGAAATTAACTGATGAATATCATTACTCTCCTCCTCTGAAATAGTATATCACACCACAGTCAAATGTTACCATCATTTTAAACACAGTGGTAATGCAATTCAGTACAACCCAGAACTGCTGCATGGAAAGCAGGCAGGTTTACTGTAAATACGAGCAAACTCCACCTCCTGAAAAAAGAAATATTCTTTGAATTTAAAAGAAAACGTCACTGAACTTGCAGCTAAAGTTGAATTTGGATTGAGTACCATAAATAGAATAAAGAAGAGATGCCATTTCCAGCTCCTTATTTTTCCATGAGCTAGAATGACATGTCTTAGCCTTGATGCAAATAAGGATGTATAAAATACAGTTAATGAATTACACTAGAAGCATCAATGAACATGCTTGTTTAAAATAAGCCATACAAAGCTGTGGAAATAAATGACCAGATTTCACAACCCTTATGCTGCTTTCCAGCTCCCTTTCTCACATCATTGCACCTGTACCATATACTGTTCTGTCATCATAGTAATACTGAGAGAAAATAAGTTTGTTTTCTTGAGGACCTGAGAGCTCAAACATTGTAAATCTCTCTTTAAGCATGCCACCTACAGACAGCAGTATCATATGCTCAGATATACCCCTTTCCAACACTGCTTCATTTACTCTTCCAATTGGAAGTTTCCTCTCCATTTCACACCACTGTATCAGAGCCAGTCATTGTTGTTATACAATAGATGAATATGTTAAGAATAGGCTTCAGTCTCTTCTTTGAGCAGTAACACGGTTCAACAAAACAACATCAGCTACCATAATGTTTTTCTATTTACATAGGAAAGTAGCTTCCATTTATACACATCTCCCACATCTCTCTCAGGACTATTTCCAATTTTCTAAGATGACAGGTTTATATATTTTATAGAAATTGCTTTGCATCATTAACTCGCCAAGAATTTCATTTCACCAGAGGATCCAAGGCTAAGGATGTCACAATGGAGAATTAACACATACAGCTTTCAAAGTGATACCTAGCATGAAATCATGACCTGCACCACCACAGAAGGACTATTCAGCTGAGCAGACAATTCCCAATATCAACTTAGCATAGAATTTAAAAAAAAAAAAAAATCAAACTAAATAGTAACACATGAATTACTATTTTATTAATGTCAGTCAAAACTACTTTAACATCATTATGCTAACAGACTTTACAACTATTAAACACACCTAAATTAAAACAAAGAAAATCAAAACTATTTACTGCTTGATACATCAAGCATGTTGAGTAATGTGTTTTCTTAAAAACATAGAAAGAAAAATTCTTCCATTATCTTTGAAGTTACACCTATGAAAGGCAGCCAGGCAGCAGTATGTGGCAGAGAGTACAAGAAATCAAGTCCTCTGACCATGATAACAATTAATGTATAGGAAAGGAAAAATTCTTGTGAAGTCACCAGTAGGATAACAAATTGTAAAGGAGAACAGCAAACACTAACTGCCTGACAAGCTTACAGATTAACATTCTGAGAGCACCAACTTTTCTGCTTGTTTCAAAGCAGAAAAAAAACAGAAATACACTCTTATCTCTACAGGTGGCATATCTGCCTTTATAAATTCAGTTTAGATTTTGGTTATCTGTGAGCTTTCTTTCACTTTCCCACCATAACACAGTAAATTTAAAAATGAAAAATAGGCAGAATTTGAAATAAAAGCCTTTCTTAAGGGAACAACAAAGCCACACAAAACAGTAGAAAGAAAGCAACAACCAACCACACTTGCATCAAAAGTGGGGAGGTAGGAGGGAACCTTGACAGTAATATCTCAGCTCTCAGCTCTTCTAACCTTGCCACAGCATGCCACCCAACAGGAAAAAATGAAGAGTAGAATGGGGGATACTTGCTTGTCCAGCCCATAAAGACACAGCAGTTTCAACTTCTGTTCCAATGCTGTAATACTGATCTCTCTAAGTCACTGTGGCTCACCAGCCAAAACTTGAGGCTGGAGTAGCTGTACATAAACTGTGCATGGAAAAGCAGTAAGTCATCAAGTCCAAATTTTTGGATGGGATTTTCTTTGTCATTTTGTAGTATAGGATTTTTGGTTGTTCCTGTTTATTTTTTTCAAGGTAGGAAGCCTGAAGGATATAGAAAATATAAATGCAAACTGAATTTTAGATTGAAAATTTGAGGATAAGAGATTTTATACTCAAACAGAAGCGTGTACATCTCTGAGAAATTACAGAGCCAAGGTTTTGCTCTCTCAAAATCATAACACAGTCTGCAGGGAAAAGACTAATTACGAGCTCCTAAGTAATAGTTAGAATACAAGGTAGCCATCAAGCATTTGAAAGATGAGAAAACAAAGGAAATTACAACCAGGGTAACAACGGGCTCTTACCTGCCAACTGGCAAAAGAAACTGAAGTGAGAGCCCGTCTTGTGACAGGCTTCTATATTAGTACACTCATGTGCTAACAAATACGTGTACTTCACTACTACTATCTTTCTGCTGTGACACTGAAGTTTGTAGACTTACTTCAAGTCAGCTGCTATTAAATTAAATCCGTTATAAAGATGTCCTTCTACTGAAACTTTCTTCAAGTAAGAGTAACAGTCCAGATCTGAAGTCAAGAAGTTCGTTACAAGAGCACCTAAGAAAGAAGTAAACAGAGCAACTTGACCTCGTGAATTTACTAATCTGAAAGGCTTGGTAAAACAAACAATACTACAGAAGATATCTTCCACCAACAGAATGTAACAGTAATCAACAAAACATTCCTTCATAAAAGGATAAATAAAAAATATAAATAATATCCCTTCATACCTCTTCCTTTTGCATTTTTGTCAGTCGTTGGCTGCATATAGTTTGTCAGGGCTGCCATCCTGCCTTTCTTACTGATTCCCAGCCACGTCCCACCTTCTTTTCCCTCCTCCATATCCAGACCTAATAAAATAAGGAGTAGGCTATTACATTCATCTTCAAAAATCTCAATGTTAAACAATTTCTTCATACAGATGAAGAGCCTTGATGAGGTTGAATAAAATAGAGTAAGTACTATCTTTTTGGACAAGTATGCATGAGGGTAAGAGCACTTCTATTACCCATCCACAATTCTGAACTAACAAGTTAATGAAATAACAGATGATGAGGAATGAGTAAAAGTTGTATTAAAAGTGAAATTATAAGCTACGCCTGTAAGCCAAAATACACAGAAAACTAAGTAGGTTCATAATGCTTGTTAATTCAAAAGGAAAATCTCAGAAGATTTACATTATTGGCGAGTTTGACTTTAGAAGTAACCAGAACAATTTAGAGTAATTTAGGTAATTGCAGAATATTATATTGTGGTAACAGTAACTTGCCTAGGAGGTGGGGTGTGCTAATTGTCAGCAGCTACAAGGAGCCACAGCCAAGACTCTCCTATGCATATTGTTGGAAAAATTTCAACTCCAGATCTCATAGGAGATCCTTCATTATAGAAGAAAACCACGTCTTGGATGCTTATTCAGAAAACCTTTTCTTCCTTCAGTCTCCAAAATTTCAGTGTCAAGTTTAGCTTTGTCACATCCTCACAGAACACATCGTTAATATCTTCACCCTAACTAAAAGGTACACAAAAACAAAACATACAGCTACACTGATGTAAAGCCAGGAATTGCATATGTTTACATATCAGGTCCAAAAATATTCATTGATTCACACAAAGAAAGAATTTAATGTTTTTGTCCTCTGAACTGCTGCTTTGATTTAACAATTTTACCTTAATGGGAGTATATTAATGGGCTCTCCACAGGCAGACCCACTGAATGCAGAACGTGTGTTCTCATGCCAAATAGAGGCAGAGATGACAAAGGTGTAAGGGAAAGTTCAGGGCTCTTCAGTTTTCAGGGTAGTTCTTTGTTTTTAAGTTCCTGTGTCACAAGGAAAGCAGCACCCAGAATGTCTGGCACAAAAATGAAAAGTCAGGCAGAGCCTGAGAAGTAAGGGAGCTGCAGTGCTGTGGGAGTCATTTATCCTCACAGCTCTCCCTGCCAATGACAACAACACACAACGTGTGACAATAACATCTGTGACTTTGCAAATACTGTTTGCTACCTTGGATCTAAGCATTGCTTTGTCTACCCAAGGCTGCAGATAGATTCCCTACAAAGGAAAACTAGACAATTGAATAACTGCATTTTACTGAACTGATTGTGGACCAAATCTAATAAACTAATGGATCAATAACTAAAACCACTATGTAGCCTATAAATTACTGATAAGAAACTAGAAGAATTTCCTTGAGGTTTGTTGTAATGATTTCCAGTCACTAGTACAGACAATGAGTCTGTAGAGTAACTAATTCCATCTACTTAAGAAAGCGTTTCAGCAATCTGCCAAAGCTCAAGTAATTGTTTGTGATGGACAAACATATTACTATATTTCCATTACACTGCTTGGCCTAAACTCAGTAAAAAGAAAACTGGGAGGAAAACCACTACATGATATTAGAACACAAATAAGACAATAACAGCACAACTCACTTCCTACGCAGGACGACAAGAAATACAAGAACGTTACGTACCACTCAGGATTTCATTGCTGCTGTCCCAAAAATCTGCTGATTTGGATGGTCTGTTGTAAAATTCATCTCTATTAGCTGCTAGAATAAGTCTGTAGAACACAAGAGTGTACTTAGAAATAGGAATTCTGTAACACAAAGAATAACAGAATATTTTTCGCCACAGCAACAGTTCACTGTAAGCATTAAACCACCCTTTATCTCAGCATCTCACTTCTATCAGCATAGAACCTGAACAACAGCTAACCACAGCCTTCTTTCACACTGTCCTGAGACATTTAACAAGTTCATCTTACTGCATGAATGAGGCTCATATCCAAGAACAGAAAAATGCTTGCAAAGCAAGAGATTGAGTTAAAACTGAAAAGCAATCTTATAATTCTTCAGCACGTGAAGTTACAGCTTAAAAAAAAAAAAAGAAAACCAACAAAAAAATCCCAAGGAACTCTAAAGGGAACTTGCAGGTTATAGGAAGCTTATCTGAAGCACAAGAATATATTTTTTTTATCTTTAGTTAGAGTCACATAACCACAGAATTTTTTAATTTAACTTGAACAACTAAAGCACTATTTATGCAGTAGAAAGATACAACACTTTTGTCTGAAAGCATCCAGGACAGAGACAAACCTGACAGCCTCCAAGGCCCATCCTGACTGAAATTCATTCGATTAATGAAGAGAAGACAGCACACTCAACAATGCAGAGATGCAAAGGGGAAAGCATGCTTTTCTGCAACAGTCAAGAAGTATGTGGGGGGAGAGAGAGTGTTCCCCTTTGGGTTTTTTTGTTGCTGTTGTTGTTGTTGTTTTCCAAATAATTATTATTTTTTTGTTTTTACTTTTCTGCAAGTATGGTTGCTGCATAACCTGAGAACAGCAGGAAAGAAGATGTGAATATGTAATGAGAGTCCTTGCAGCAGACAAGGAAGCTGTGGAGGCTGCTCAGTCAGAAGTAGGCAGATGTTGTAAGAAATATGCAACTGAAAACTGCTGCTGGATGAAACATTTCTTTCTTAATAAGCACGTTTTACTCCACAGCCATCCTGTACTCAAAGTGGTTTGTATAGCCTTTGTATATCCAGCTCAACCAGATAGTTCTTAAAGAACACATAAGCAGGAAATAACACTCAGAATGCTTTCTGTCACCACTATGTCTGGCTTCCACTGCTCCTTATTTGGAAAGAGGATCCTAAGAGGCATCTGCCAGTGTGGGAGACATAGCTCAGCATGGTCTTTGAGAAGTGGTTCACATACAGGATGCACGGGAAAAAGACCAGTTCTTCCTAGTGAAGCAAACACTATTTGTTTATGGAACCTAAATAGTATTAAGTGGATTTTTTCCAGTGTGGTAGAATATTCCCCAACTCAGTTTATATATAGATTCTGGCATTTAGCACAAGGCTAGTAGGCAGGGTTGGTACATTCAAAGCATCTTCATTTAGTCATTTGTGGAACATAATCACAGTGAAATGCATCACTATTGAAATGACCCTTGGCATCCAATAAATTGCAAAAGGCCTGTTCAGCTATTTTACAGCTGAAATTAACTGTATTAGGGCTAACTCATTAAGATTTATTTAAATGTTGAGACAGATAAAAATATGAGAAATCATTCTATTAAAGCAATTCCATACAATGAAATTCAGTTCCATAAAAAGTCTCCAATTATAGCTTTGAAATTTAAAACGTATTTATTCTTAAGATGCACACAGTATATTTTGGAATAGCATAAGGGCAGTGCAATAACTTTGATAATGACTACAGTAAAGCATTTGTTACACTGCCCTGAGCTTTACTTCTCATAGGCCTGCAGAGAGAACACCAAGGGCAGAACAGTAAGCTGCAAACATACAGGAAGACAGGAATTCATTAATGCATTTAGAAGATCATCTGCAAGCTTTGTGCTAAATCAGGAACTTAGAAAAAGTAGCCAAATGTACTGCTGTGGAAATTTGGAAATTCCCTAGGATGGGAAACCCTCCCAAGCATTATGGAGAACATTGTTTAGCTTGGCCAAAGAAATCCAGTTTGTCTTTTCAACTTTAAATGGTTAGACACCAAGAGAAACAAAGTAATGGATAATAAAAGCTAACTGTAGATGTCTTTTTTTGAGGCGGACAAACATACCAGCAGGCCTGCAGTCAGAGAAACCCCTCTGGGCTGGGAGAAGTGTTCCATGAGCTCAGTGTGAAGTAAAGGGAGCTCAAGTACAATGTTACACAAGGAGCCCTGAGGAAAAGTACATTTAGCAGCAGAGCAGTGCAGGGAAGTCTCATAGCTAAATACTCTTCAAAGAACTGGGCAACATCTCGAGCTGATGTTTATGTTCTTCAGAAAGCTGAGATGAAGGTGAAGAAACCATAGTAAAAACTAAAAAAAAACAAAAAAAAAACCAAACCAACAACTAGGTACCTCAACTTTCTTCCAAATAATAATAATAAAAAAAGGTTTAGCCTTTTTAGGCTGTGTGAAGGAAGGAACAAAGGAACTGAAGTTAGGCGTTTGATTGAAGCAATAAAATTAAGATCAGCCACCAAGAACAACATGGCACAGTACTTATTGCTGACATGCAAGGCTGGTCAGAATCATTTATTACAGAGGTAGAGAGCAAGGCTCTGCTTAACAAAAAGTAATGAGAAAATTGAGATCATTTAAGCAATTGATGGTCCATCAAACATGATTCCCCTTAGCTTTTAGGATACAAGACAAGGCAGGAATTTGGAACTCTAGATTAGAATTTATGAAGGATGCATCCTGCACCACATGACTGATTACCATCAAGAGGCCCATAGCTAGAGAGTGAGCCTTCTGACCAGGGTGCAAAACAACGTATGTAAGTGACCCTTTGAGAACCCCTCAAGTAGTCCCATGGAGAAAATCTAAGTTAGACATTACATGAGTATAACTGAACACCAAGTAATGACTCCTGAGTTTGTAATTCAAACATAGGCTACAGGAAATTGTACAGAAGATTACACAGACAGCTCTCTTTCAGCCATCCTTACCTGTAGGCATTTTTTGAAACTGGCCGAGGATCAAATTTGAACAGAATGATGCACATTGAAGAATGATTAAGTCTTTTTTTCCCCACAAAAGCTCAGCACAAGGTCATTCTGTAACAGCCTACAAAGAAAATGCAGATCATCTATTATGCCACAAATCACATAGATAACCTTGCCTCTGGGGTGAAGCTTACAGACTGCAATGCTCATATCCTTGCTTACTGAAAAACTGGTTTAAATATATTTTGGTCATCAACATACAAAAAAAACAAATAGCAAAAGCAAATAAAATACGGAAGCTGAAGAGCCATTCTTGGACTTTTATGAACTACATCAGCTTTGGGTTTGGTTACTTTTAAAATTCTTTAATGTTTTATAAACATACTCCAAAAGAAAGCCTTCTATAGAATCATAATTCCAATAAAGACATAACAGTAATCAATAGACCGTAGCCTCACTATTCAAGCTGTGATACAGGACCTTGTGGTATAGAGTTGCTATTTCTTCAGAAACCCATAAGTCACGTGGACCAGAAAGATTGTTCTAAATTACTTCTGGTTACTTTTCATTGCTCTGCACTACTAAAAATGTGTCTCTGAAGTCAATTCTCATTCAAGAGAAGCAGTGTTCAAAAACTCTTGCCTTAGCATAGAAGATTTCAGTGACTAGCTTTCTTGCTGCACACTCTTATCTCAGTTACTTAACTTTGATTCGCTTTTCTTATATCATTCCAATTACCTCATCACTGTTTTACCTTATAAGAAGCTTAGATAAGAAATTACTGCTACTGTTAGTTGCAGCAGACAAAGAGTAAGATATGATGACTACAGAGATATTTAATCAAATATCTTCATACAACTGTCATTCTTTCAAGGCTATACTCACATAAAAGAAGGTGTTGCAATCCCTGCAAAAACTTACTGCTTCCAAATAATGGGCTTTTGTAACATCCAGTTTTATCATCCCTCGTCAACGGGCCAACCATTTTCATGCATGAAATGATGGCAACAATCTCCTCTGTTTCTTTGTTTTTAGTCTGCTATTTAACTTACCTCTCACACACACAGACCAGCCTGACAAAAGTCAACAAACACACTGAAATTAAGCGTTCTGCTCCAAATGGGGCTGCTGGCTTGGAAATGACATTGAAATAACTGCCATTCTTATTCTGTGCTGCTGTCATCAGCACAGCGTGCAGTTTTATCAGCTCAACGTTCTGGTAAAAACCTGAATGTACACTGCCAGGAGAAAGCAGTGGTTACAGGAGGTAACAGGAGACCAAATTGTGATAGATTGTGGATGTTCTTTTCCTAGGTTTGTACCATCATCGGGTTGATTAGAAGCAATCAATTCACAATTTGGCATAAAACCACTTCACTCATAAGATCTCCCAGTAGCAGCCTTTGAAAAATGAAGTCATTTGTTATGTATTTTGTTCTCCCAAATGAAGTGCCATAAATAACATGTCAGTTACCACAGCAAACTCTAAGCTGATCCACAACTGTTCTTCAGGCAAGTCTAAAAGACCACCTGAAGATCATTAGTCACTTAATTCTGACAGGTTATGTAGCACAACAGTAACTCACAGTCAGAGTCTACAACTGGTTTACTGCTTCTTTTCAATTTGTTTACAGGAAACTGAGAACTACATTCCTCAAAAGCTCATGAAAGAAGAAAACTGGATGGATATTTTTTCAGTGTTACAATGAGTTTTCCATGCTGAACTGAGACATTGAAAAGAATGATTACTTTCCCAGTTGCAATCAGGAGCAATTGGAAAAAAAATCACAGCAAGGGTAGGAGGGCTGAAAGTGAGATATGGGTGAGAAGGAAGAGGTGCATGCTGTTGTGCCAGCTCTCAGGCTGCTTTGTACGAAGACTATTCCTGAAGGATGAAGGGCTGGTAACCTTACCGGGGTGAAGGGACCATCTTCACTGCAGGAGGCAGCAGTGCAAACCAGAATGGGATTAAAGAACATAATGTGTAAGGAAGAAGACGCTGACAATTTCGATGATCTCAAACTTATAACCTGATCTTTATTTTTGTGTCCCCATTTTCTCCCCCTGCAGGCCCAGGGCCCATTCTGGATTTCTTCCTCCTGTTACGCAAACACAAGTAGCTACTCCCTATTCCAGGGAGGAACATGACAAGAAATTGTTTACCATTCCTTATACTCAGGAAACACAAGGAAGCAGTCAGTGGAAACGCTTTGCAGAGCCCACCACACCCACCTGCTCCCGGCCTTTCTATGTCAGTGTGCACACAGCTTACAGCGAGAGAAACGCGCTAGCCAACTGCTTAGCCACTTGGTTCCTATTAACAGGCACTGATAAGGAAAACAGCACACTCACTACAGCCACAACCGAAACACCGGAACGCGTACAGCTACAGCCGAGCCGAGAGGCACGGCCGTACACAGGCAGCACCCAACAGCCCGGGCCCTACAGGAGCACCCGCAGCCGACAGCTCCTGCAGCGGCACGCAGGAAGGCACCCGGCAGGCACCGCAAGGCCGCGCAGCGCCGCACTCACCCAGCGCGCGCCGAGGACAGCAGCACAGCCCGGCAGAGCCGCTTCCGGCCCCACGGCGAGTTTAAAGCGACACTCGCCCCGATTGGCTGCGGGAGCCCCGCCTCCCGCGGGCTATTGGAGAACGGATCCCCCGCCTCCCCTCCTCGAGCCGCCATTGGCTGGCTCCCGCGTCGCTCAGGGCCGTTGGCGCGCAGGTGCCCCCGCTTTTCCCTCCGCCCTATTTCTGACTCCTTCACGGGAGGCAACGGGCGGTTTCAGTGGAACTTGTAAATTAAGGATGCTTTATGGTAGTGCCTCCAAAGGAAGAGCAGAAAACCCGTGACCGCTCTCGTCTGAGAATAATAAACTTCGTATGCACAAGTGAATAAACGTTAATGGAAAGACCTTCCAGGGCTGTACGAGTTTGTAACGTGGCTTTTGAGGCAAAACCTCTCATCCTGAAAGCAGAAAACCCGGGGTCGGCGGTCAGCCTTGCCGTCGGTCCCGTGGCGTTAAACACGTCGTCCGCACAGCCCCCGCCGCCAGCAGCGGGACGGCAGCGCTGACCTGCCCAAGGGTTTTGAAGATCTGCTGACGACCGGGAGGAGCCGTCACACTCACCCGCCCCTGCCGTGCCCCGCAGCGGCGACGTCCCGCTCTGGCGCCGTCCGGGGGCTCCGCGCTCAGCCCCGCCGTCGGTGCCGCTCGAAGCTCCCAGCGCTGCGGGCAGCCGGGGGCAGAGCCGTCAGCCTCTGGGAGCCGCTACCGCGAGCCGGGCGAGCAGCTCGCAGGTTGTCCCGAGTTCCTCACGAAAAACTAAAAGGGAACCAGCTCTGATGTTTGTTACTAACTTTGTCCCGTCGCGTAGCCGGAACGCGCGAGCGCGCTGTCAGTGTCCCGTCAGACCCCGCTGACCGCGGCACAGCGCTCCGGGCGGCGGCCCCGGCCCGGCTGCTGGCCGCTATGCGCGTCCATAGGTGGTGATGCGGGATCTTCGCTGCCGGCGGCCGGACGGGCAGCTCACGTGACGGATTTACCGGCAGAACCACCTGACGCGGCATTAAATCATCCCAGCCCAATGAAACTGGGCAAGCCCACGGCTCGGCAGCTCCCTGCGCGTCCCACCGCGCTCCTCGCTCCGCACCCCCGCAGGAGCGCTCGGCTCCCCCGCAACGGAGCTCCGCCGCTCGGATGACGTCACGCAGGGGGGGCAGCGACCCTGGCCGCGCCTCAGCGGCCGCCCCGGACCCTCCCGCCTCCCGCCGCGAGCCGCACCGCGCGCCCGCCGAGGGGGCGGGCCGCGCCGCTCGGGCGGACGGCCTCGTTGGCCGACGCGGTTTGCGGCGGTCAGCCAGAGAGCGGAGAGAGCCAATGAGATTTTGGTTGCTGAGCGCGAGCGCGGAGGAAGCGGCCAATAGGAAAATTCGCGGCTGCTGGCGGCGCGCGCCGGTTCGCGCGGCGGCTGCGGAGGGGCAGCGCGAGGCTGAGCCGGTGGCGGGAGCGCGAGCGCGGGGCCGCCCCCTCAGAGCCGCCCCGTCAGATCCGCCCCCTCAGAGCCGCGCACGTCGCCGCGCCGCGCGTGTGGCGGGCGGCGGTGCCGCTTCAACCCCCCCCTTTCAGCGTGAACGCTGCGGAATGATAATGCCCCGATTAAAAGAATAAAGAGTTGAGGGGCGGCAGCGGCGCGGCCCGGGGCCCGCGCGAGGAGCCGCGGCCGGAGGCGCTCCGCAGGCGGTCGCTTATTTTCAATGCGGCTTCGGAAGGCGCGCGTCTGTCAGCACCGCCCTCGGAGCTGCGCGCTGTGCGGCCCCGGCGGCGGCGAGCTGCAGAAACGCCCCGCGCCGCAAACGTCAGCCAAAATACTCCCGGCAGAGGTACACGAGAGGAAGGGGTTAAGGATCCCGCCCGCCTCCCCCGGGGGCAGACATGGTCCCGGGTGCCCTTTGTAGGCAGGAGCAGGAGGGGGGGAGGCCGGCCCCGTGCCGCCGCGCCGGGTGAGGAGGCGGCGAGGCCCGCGGTCCCGGGGGATGCGCGGGGCGGTGCGGGCTGCGCTGCGGGGCCGGCGGTGCGGGGGTGCCGCGCTGCCCGGCTGCTGCCCTGCGCTCCGCTGAAGAGCGCCGTTTGTTTTTTCCTTCCCTCGTACGCCCGGCTCCCGGCCACAGCGCGAAGGCGGCGGCGGCGGCCAGGAAGATCAGCCGAGGGCAGAGGAGCGGGAGAAGCGGAGGAGATGGTGAGGAGGCGGGGGTGGCGGGGAGGCGGTGAGCGGATCGCCGGGCCGGGCGGCGGTTGGGCTCCGGGGTCCGCGGGGCGCGGCGCGTCTGGGGGCGATTTTGCGTCGCGATTGCGGAGCGGCCGCCTTTGTTCGCCGAAGATCGGCGCTTCGGGTTTAACGGCGTGCCTCGCTCGATCGCGAGCTACGCGGGGAGGAGCTGATGCGTACGAATGGCTAAAGCCGCATCTGCCGGCCGCGCACCCGAGCGGCCCCTCGGCACGGCGGCGCTGTGACGGGCGGCTCGTGTCATGGAGGGGCGGCATCGCTCCGGCTGCGGGCGAGATGGCTCTGTGCAAAGACCGAACGGAACGGAGCGATTCCTTCACTGACGTGAAATCCGTCACGAACTTGGGAGCCAAAGTTAGGTGGTTTCCTTCTTTTCTTTCTCCTTTTCCCTTCCTTTCATTTCCCTGCAGCGCTGCCGTGCATGATTAAAATCTAACGCTTGCGGAACTTGAACACAACTCTTTAAAATGCTCGCTTTAAGCGTACCTATACTAAAGGCTGTCTTTATCCTTTTATTTTTTAGATGGACGCACTTCTTTGTGCATGTGGAAGGGGTAATCCTTATATACCCTTTGCATTTTACTGAGTACTGCTGTGCTTTAGGCAGGTCACAGTACAGCATGTATTCCTAGCATGTAATAAAATCCTTGGCTGATAAATTTAAGTCAAGTGAGGACCTGTTTCAATGCTAGTAACAGCAGGTACAAGTTTGTGTGTGTAACAGCACTGCCTGCATTAATGAGAATCTTTATAGCAAAAATGGTGATTCTCCATGATGGAATATTGGCATTGCTTACTGTATCTTCCTGCGATGAAGTGCTGCAGCCTGCATTAAGTACATCACTCCTTTAAGTATCCATAATTTTCAACGTGTTTTGTTTACGGAATTGTGAAAGACTGCATGGTGCAGCATTAAGAGCTGAAATTGTAGTGGCTTTAGGAATGTGACTGCAATAGAGAAAACTGCAGCTCCACGTTAAATCTCCTTGGGAAGAGATGTTTAGTTATATTCAGTAAAACAGCATACCCCATGGTTGGAGTAACTGAAGGGGCTGCATAGCTCTGAAAAAATAAGTTGTGAACTACGCAGTGCCTTTCATCATGCAAGCTGCTTGGACGGATGGCTGTTAAATTTATTTTAAACAAGCTCTCTGTAAACGCTTGCCTAAAATATTTAAATTACATGCTCCATTAGGCAAATGGGTTTATCTTCCCTTTGCTTGGCTAAAGGAATGTATTAGGAGTGCGAGGTTTAGAAGAACAGTGCTGTCACAGTGCATACTTTCACTGTGCAGTTTATCCTCATGTATTGTCCAAAGGTGCTTAGAATGTATTTTATTTAATATGCAATCTTTACAGAGTTGACTTTGATTTTGTTTTGTCTGCCATAGTTGCTGTCAATGTGAGTAACTGAAATTCCATGAATGTAACCTGCTCTCGGATTTGACCTGGTATTTAGCTAGGATTGACGGCAATTTTTTACCTTCTCTGATTTTTCATCTGTTCATTTAAAATCCCTGCAGTGGATTTTAGTCTCAGAAGTTCTTTAATGTGGGCAGAACTGGTAACAGTTGCAAAGGGAGACACATTCCCATTATGTTCAGTCAGGATGTTGCCTAGGAAGGGCAAAATTCCTGCTGTATATTTTGTGCAAACATATTGTGTACAAACTGTAGTTCAGAGTAGGAGTCTTATCATGAAGACCATCTGCATGCATGTTGGTTATATAAAACTAAGCTTCTGTATTTGGTTTGATGCAACGCAACACGTGATTTCTGCAGCGTTTTTGGTGGGCTTTTGTTATTGTCAGAATTGATGCATTGTGAGGGAAACCTGTTAAGAGTTCCTGTGGTACCAGGTTTATAATTTGTTGCTCTGAATGTTTTATTACGTGGGTACTGGCACAAGCATTGTAAACAAACACTGAAGCAGCCAAGTGTGAGATTGCGTTTAGCTTTAGTCTTTACATTTGAACCGAAGTGTGGCACTATCTTGGCCAGCCTGAAGGTGTTTCTTTTCTTAATGGCCATCAGAATAATCATCAGAGGTGAAAGGTTAGATAATTTTTTTTACTTTCTTGCCGGTGCCTATGAAAGAGAGAGGAAAAAAGCCACTTCCAGAGTTGAATCAGTATGGATTGGAAAAGGATTTATAGGATTCAGTAAGATTAGTTGGACATTACATGAGTCATCTGAAACTGGGGGATTTCTTTTTACTTTTTTTATTTTTAAGGATTAAAATCCCCACTTTTTTTTTTTTTTTTTTTTAAGGTGTTCTCCCCATACTAAAAACACTTAGGATATGCATGCAACTTGAGGAACGTTTTCTTAATGAAATATTTTTGTTTTCCCTTGGCTAATTTGTGTCAAACCAACAAGGCCACCATCCTGTGGTGAAAGTTTTTTGCTCACTGTTAGTGCTTCTTGCTCTTGCCTATTTCTCCTTCTTTCCTTGCAATCCAGAACACTCTGTAAGGCCACTGGTTCTTTGCACTGATGTTCCAAAGTCTACATCTTCTGCATTAGCTTAAATGTTTTAAAATTTCATTCATCTAAAATAGTATGCAAGGCAAATAGGTTGCCTAATTCTTTTTATGGTTGTTTTTTTTAACCTCAATGCCATAAGAATAGGCGACTCAATTAAGTAATAGCTAATCTTTTGAAATGCTGGAAGCCAGGCTTACTGCAGCCATGTTTTCAAGAATTAGCATTTTTGGCATGTATACATGGAATCATTTAATAGTAAATGGACAGCATCTATTATTCATCATTAATTTGTACACACTACATCAAACAAAATGGCATTTGAAAGTAGTGATTAAATTCATTGATTGCCATGGTGTTTTGGAATGCTCTGACAGACTTTTTGACCTATCAAAGTACATGCTTCTCTAGAACGTCAGTAACTTGGGAACAGAAAATGTACAAGAGATCCACTAGAAATATAAGTATGGGTGGTATTATAAAATGTCTTAATCTCTTATAGAGAAGATTTCAATTTAGTTAATGAAGCTCGTGCCTAGTCACTACTCATTCCTTCAGAGAACATGGTTGGACACATCCGAAAATAGTTGCTAGGACTGGACATATGGCCATTGAGACAAATAGCCTCTTTGTGAGAATTATGACTCTTAACTAAGCAAGGCACCATAATACCCCTGAAACACCTGGACTTATTTGTTTTCATTAATTTTATTATTCAAATTCTTTAAAAATTGATACTGTTCTTTTACCATTATTTTTTTGCTATGGAGTTGAATGTTTGTCATCCAGTCTCTGCAAAATTGATGGAAATGTCACAGAAATAAAAGCCATCTAAAGTTGGTTTTAGGAGGTTGGCCACAATGAATATAAAATAATTTGCTTAATTATATTTTTCAAAATGTCCGAGGAGTTAACTTAGGAGAATCAGTGGGTGCTTCTGTAGATACCTGAATCTGTTTTGACAAATGTAGACTTTGCACAAGCTAGAAAATGCTTAGTAGGAATAGGACATTGAGGAACCTGTGAACCAGAACATGTGAAGCTTTGCATCTCTCTGAATATCTCACTGATAGGATCTATTAGTCTGATTTGGCAAGTCTTAATCCTCTGTAATCAACTGATATCAGTTACAATGAAAAAAGTGATTTTGAATGTTGAGTGTATTTAGAAAGACCGGTGTCATAGTGGTTAGATCACAGATCCCAGGCTGGGTAGCCCAATAAAGCAGTTTTGACCCCACACTTGTTTGATGGCTGTTAAGATAGGTTTCTTGTAGTCTAGATGCTGCTAGACAGGTCCTCACATGCATTTCAATCTTGGAGATCTCTAAAATTGTCTTGACATGTGAAAGAAATGATTTCCAGCATAGGCAATGGTTCCTCCAATTTAAATACAAGAAACATTTGGAAAACTTGAAGATTATTTGTCCCTCTTTCCATGTGGATGTGATAAAAGGAAATCT